CCTCAGTTTCCTAAACTGTAAAATGGAAGTAATAATAGCAACTACTTTCCAGGGTTGTTATGAGGATAAAAATGAGATATTTGTAAAAAGTGTTCAGCATAGTGCATGGCACATTGGAGGCACTATATAAAAATGTTTATTCTCTCCCCTCCTTCCCTACCTTATATGGCCCCCTCAACCTTATGAAAGCCACAGCTGAAAAAACATTTCCAATCAGGAAAAAAACAAAACTGGTATTCAAAGGAACTTCTCAAAAATCCAGATATACGTTATCATATCTCCCCCCTCAAAGCAATAGGCAAATTGTTTTGGGACCCACTCATTGGAAAGTTAAATTTACCAGGGATGACAATCCAACCACCCTTTTCTGCTGGAAGTCTTGGTGATGCCGCTCTTTAGCCAACATTCTGTATCTCTGAAAAGGACTGACAGATTTTTCAATTCAGGCCCAACGGCTTTTAAAAGCAAAACCAAACTCATTTATTTCCCTTCCCTGAACAGTGTTGTGCTTACAGGCAGTGACTCAGCCAGGCACTTTAAAATGTTTTTATTATTCTCACTTAGACATCTTCCCATTTATTCCCCCTCCTTCCCAGCATAAGATCCCAGTTCAGAGGTTGACAAGAAGAGTCAAAAGTATGTGAGCTGATTTTAATTGACACGTGATTGCTTTTAGCTCCTCTGTCTATAAATATGAACTGGCATAACTTTTTCTTTTTTTTTTAGTATTTTATTTTTCCCCAGTTACATGTAAAAACAATTTTTAACATTTACTTTTAAAACTCTGAATTCCAAATTCTCTCCCTTCCTCCCTCCCCCTCCTCCCCACTGAGAAGGCAAGCAATTTGATATAAGTTATACACGTGTAATCACTGGCATAACTTTCAATCAACATCTCCTATGCAGTAAGTCACTTTTCTCCCAACCATACTGAACTAGAACTTGGTACATTCCCCTTTAAAAAGCTGTCAACTCATTTTATTCCAGGCTAAAAGGATAAGATTTAGCCTTGCCTCAGAGTTGTCACAGCTTCTTCCTCAGGTTTGCCCCGTGTTTCTCTCCCTTCCAATCTCAAGGCCACTCCAGTTCAGCTTGATCTTGATCCAGGTCTCCCTTGTGTAGTAAAAGTATAATCAGTAGTCAAGTGATTCTTCCTGAAGCAATCACTAATGAGCCCTTTTTCCAACAATCAAACCATCCTTTCCCCCAAAATCACCTCTGGAAAACTCTTTAGGCATAGACTGAAAATGCTTCCCTCTATCTTCTTTAAAACCAGAACTAGAGGCAAGAATTCCACTTAGTTCCCTTGAAACTAAGTTCCTAGGAAGCAAGGCCCAAAGCTGTACATTCTGGGCAGTGCCTAATCACTATAGTTGTTCTCATTATTAAACAAGTCAGGCCCTAGTACATTCTGCACAAAACCATTCCTACTTATCTAACTGGGATCATGATGAAGGCAAGTCGGAAGAGAGGCTAGCAGTGGCCAGTGGGAGGAGACACGAATTTCACTGTCATGTGAAAAGTGAACTTCCTACAAAGTAAATGTTTTTTGGGTTTTTTTTAAGCTTATCCCAGATCATTTCCCCCTCCCTCTAACTCATTTGAGGACTATTCATCCAAAGACAGTTACCCAAGCCAGGCACTGGAGGCAATTCTTACCCACATTGTTTTTAAGGCATTTGATGTGGCCACAGGCCAGGATCTGGAAAAATTATTTATAGGCTATATCAGAACAAAAACCATAAAAGTAATGACAAAGCCAGAACTTCTTACTGGCCATGTATTTTTTTTAAGTCAACTATGACAGCAAGTCAACTCACTGCTTTGCTTATGTTTTTTTCTTCCCAGGAACCCCTGGGCAACTAACCAATCAATTTTGTCACTCCTTCCATTTTTTTTTTCTATCTTGTATCCTACAGCTGGGATTTCTCTCCCTTCCTACTTCCTTTGTCCTAAAAACAATCTCCAAACTTTGCTTCTAGTCTTTGGCCTTGAGGCCACATGTGTCCACACGTAGCCAAAGTTCTCCACCCCTGTTCTAGTTAGTCAATGAACCATCATTTACCAAGCACGTACTATGTGTCAGGCTAAATGCTGGGGAGACAAAAAAAGGCAAAAGACAGTTCCTGCTCTCAGGAAGTTCACATTCCAAAAGGGGAAACAATAACCAAACAACTATGTACAAACAAACCATATACAGGATAAAGTGGGAGCTGTCTCAGAGAGAAGGCTAGGATTCAGGTAGACTGAGAAAGACTTCTTGCAGAAGATGGATTATTAGGTGAGACTTGAAGGGAGCTGGAGATGAGGAAGGAGAGAGTTGCAGACATGGGGGACAGTCAGCACAAATGCATGAAGTCAGGAGAAGGGAGTGCTGCATATAAGGAATAGTAAGTAAGCCAATGTTACTGGATTGTCCAACCAAAATCCCCATCACATCAGTACTCTATGTTACCCCTATCCCTACTCAGAAAACACCCACAGGCTCTGCAATATTATATGAACCACAACAGACGTTACTTGGGGGGAATGATCTAGTTCATTCTCACAATATACCTATTCAATATGGAAGAGGGTAGGTTTGATAAAGAAGGAAATAATTTTCCAGGAAAAAAAAATCTGTTCTTGGAAGACCTGTATCCTAAGTCTCTTACTCCCCATAAACTCAAAAAAATTCAAACAACAAATACAGTAAACAGTGATTCAACAATGAAAAAGTTGATAAATTTCTATGTTATCTCATTTCTCCCCAGCTCTGAAACACAGGGGGAAAAAAATGTCCTCTTCAGTACCTCAGGTTCAAAGAAAAGAGAAATAAGACCTTATATTTTAAAAATAAAATATACTAGAGATAACGGTCATAGTAAATCACTGTCCAACTCATACAAACCAAGGGCTTTGCAATTAAAATCCAGCAGTCTAACTTTAGTCATGCTTTTGCCTTATCCCTCAAGAAGAAAGGCACTTCAATATAACCTGGCTTACTGGACTACCACTGTGTATCCAAATTAGACAGGGTCTGACCCTAAGGAATAAGTATTATCACCTATATATTTTAATATGAGCCCACCAAAATCTGGGATGGGGCCTGCTTGTTGGTTCAAGGTCTCTTGGTCCTTGACTGTGGTCAGCTCAGGGATATAAATTATTACACTTTGGGATTCCCTTGCCAATCAAAGGGAAATTTAAGTTACTTCAGAACTGACTGATACCTGATTGGATTGGCAAGGTTAATAGTACTTTCCTTAATAGAACTCAACCTAATGGTACTTTGATCTCTGCAGCATTCCTGAGAGATAAGGGCTGGCACCTGAGTAAAAGAATATGATTCCTCAACTGCCATGATGCCAACCTGCATAAAGAAGCATATCTTAGACAGGTTTCTAAACCTCTGCATCCAGGGAAAGGCATAAGCCAGAAAGAGGAAAGGTACTGTTTTTATACAGCTGAAGGGCTACTTTTCCTCCACATGAGGAAGAGAACCTTCCCTGAAACTGGGGCTCTTTTGCTCCTTGATGAATATTCTATTTATTAGTCAGTGAGCATTTTATTCTATCTCCTGACTTTTCTTCCTTTCCAATTCTGGACTCCAAATCTCAGTCCTATCCAGTGTCTCTGTGTTTCATTTTACTACAGGGTTTCTTCTATTTTATCTCCCTTCTTCCCTTTTTGTCCCATTTCGCCTGTGTCTCTTTTCCGTAACTGGATGGTTTTTTCTCCATATTCCCATCCCACTGAGGTCTCCATGACTACTCTGTAAAGGACCAAGATCACTATTACACTTTTTAAAAGATAGATTTGTATTGGTATCTTTTGTTCACATATAGACATATGTGTGCATGTATACATATACACACACATACATACACATACCCTCCTCTCCTCACCCTCCTAGAGAGCTGTACGTTATCAGCAAAAAAAAAGGGGGGGGGGAGGTGGAAAGCAGTTCAATAAAAACTAGCCAACAAATTTTTTTTTAAGTCTGACAGTTTATGCAGTGTTCCACACCCACAGTCCCTCACTTCAGCAAAGAAGGCATGGAGGTACTTTCTTATCTCTTCTTCTGAGGCCAAGCTTGTTCATTATTTCACAGCATTCAATTCCTATCATTTTGTTTTTGTTGCTCTTTCCATTTACATAGTCGCAGCCACAATGTATGTTTTCCTGGTTCTGTTTTCTTCACTTTGCATCAGTTCATTAAGTCTTTCCATGCTTCTCTCATTTCATGTAAGTCTTCCCATGCTTCTCTTTGTCATATTCATTTTTTTACAGCTGTAATCTTTCATTACATTCACTTATGACAACTACTTTAGCTATTCCCCAATAGATGGGCAGCTACTCCGTTTCCAGGTCTTTGCTATCATGTATAATAAAAATCACTGCTATAAGCATTTTGAAATAGTCGGGGTCTTTCTTTTTAATCACTGAACTCCTTGGGCCAAGACAATTAGTGGGGTTTAGAGAATAGAATATTTCATAAGTACGTTGTCAGTTAATGGTGCTTAAGGACGGAAATTCTGTGTCAAAGGGTATGGGCATTTTAGTCGCTTTTTTAGCATAATTCCCAATTGCCTTCCAGAATGGTAGGACCAAGTCATGCTTCCAGCAACAGCTCATTAATGGCCCCCAATCGCTCCAAGATTGAGTATTCAACAACCCAATCCTGATAGTTTCCCACCCCACGAAACAAACTCCCTTGAAATGAGGCTCCTCGCCCTCAGGTCACCTCTCCAGACTAGCCAAAGGCTGTTCTTCACACAGGGAATTTCCCCCTAACAGTTACTGGTCGGCAACCATCACTCCGTTCATTCACTCAGTTCCCCCTTCTTTCCTCTCCCTGGGCCGCACTCCTCTCTTCTCTGGATCTCTCATTCACCCCAAAGCTCCTCATCTCCGCCCCCAGGATCCCCCACGACGGGCTCTTCTTCCTCCAAAAGCCCCCTCCCTCCCGGATCTCCCAGCCAACAGGCCTGCAGCCCCTCGGCAACTCAAAGACTCACAGGAGACCAGAGCAGGAGGTGCAGACAAAGCTGCCCACGGTGATATCCACGTATGTGACCCCGCGCTGGGCACACTCGAAGCAGTGGCGGTTTCCGGCCTGGCTGCTGCCACCCAGCTCCCGCACCCGGCGACACCACACCTCCGAAGCCGCCTCCGCCTCCGCTTTGCCGGCGCTGTCGCCGCCGCCGGGGCCCGGGCCCTTCTTCGCAGCCATCATCATCGCTTTACCCCCACCCCCCTGCCCCTCTTCAGCCGGCTCTCCTCAGACGCCAGCACTGACACCTTTTCTCCTCTTGGACACTCTCCTCACCCACGGATCCAGCAACCAAAACCCGCCCGCGCAGGCGCAGGCGCAGCCGCTACTCAACGTCTTCCTCTACTACCGCCCCCCCCCAGCTCTGATTGGACGGCCTCTCTACCTCGCCTCCCTCACTGGTCCGATTATAAGGAAGCCGCGGGGGACAGCAACTCATCTAGCTGCACCCAGCCCCCTCACTTCGTGACCTCCAGGCTTTCCGATTGGTCTGCGAGAGAGAACGGACCATGCCACTATTCCTTGGCCCCGCCCTTTCTCCCGGAAATCCAGCCCCTCGAGCTCTGATTGGTGGCATGTTCCTTCTCTCTCTCCTAGGTTCTCCTCTCTACTGCCTTGGGGGACTCGGACTGGGTTCTTCTTGTGATAGATTAGGGAAAGAGGCAAAAATGTGGGCGGGATGACAAGCTTTCATGCCAGAACGTGCAACTTGCGCTCTTGCTACCCGCTATTTCCGCTCTTCCCAGTAACTTTAGCACCTGCCAAAATAGGAACCTCTCCACCAATCATCGAATAGCTCTAGAGACTAGTTGTGTCCTGTTTCAGTTAAGCAGCCAGGCTGACCTCGGTGACACTTTAGGAAGGCTGTACCTTATAGTGGGAAGAGCCCGGGAGCGGGAGGCGGGGATACCTGGCTTCTAGTCCTGGCTGTACCACTAGTGTGCTGTGTCAGCCACTCAATAAACATTTATTTAGCGGCCTACTATAAGGAAGTATCACAGCACCGCTGTGATAAGCGCTGGGGATAGGAAGAAAGGCAAAAAAACAGTTTGTGCTCTCGAGGAGCTCACTAGGGGGAAGGGACACAACAAGCAAACAAATGTATTCAAAGTAAGCTAAATACAGAATAAATAGGAAATCATTAACAGAGAGAAGGCATTGGAATTAAGAGGGGTTGGGAAAGGTTTCTTGTAGGAGGTGGGATTTTAATTGGGACTTAAAGGAAGCTAGGGAGGTCAGTAGTTGGAGAGTAGAAGGGAGAGCATGCCAGGGGTAAGACAGCCAGACAGAATGTCCAGAGCAGTGAAATGAAGTGTCTTGCTTGTGGAACATCCAGGAGGATGTCACTGGATGGAGGAGTTGGGAAGTAAGGTATAAGAAGACTGGAAACGCAGAAGGGGACTAGGTAATAAAGGACTTTGAATGCCAAAAAGCATTTTGTATTTTCTTCTGGAGTTTTTGTTTTTCAAGTAATTAACAGTCTAATGAAGGAGACAGCATGCAAGAACTATATACAAACAAGCCATCAACAAGATAAATTGAAGATAATAAACACAAGGAAGGCCCTTAGAATTAAGGGGGATAAGGAAAGGTTTCCTGTGGAGAAGAGATTTTGGCTGGGGCTTAAAGGAAGGAAGGGAAGCCAGGAGGCAGAGATGCCGAAGGAGAAATTTTCAGGCATGGGGGACAGCTAGTGAAAATACTTGGAGAGTAGGGAGATGGGACGTCTTGTTGAAGGAACAGCAAGGGGGCCAGTGTCACTGAATTGCAAACTATGCAGAAGGGGGTGGGGAAGAGGAGAAGAAGGTATAAGAAGACTGCAAAGGTGGGAGGAGGCAAGTTATGAAGGGTTGTGAATGCCAAACAGAAGGTGTTATATTTGCAGTGATAACAGAGCTGGAGTAGGAGAGGGTGACATGGTCAGACCTCTCCATTAGGAAGCTCCCTTTGAAAGCTGAGTGGAGGATGGACTGGAGTGGGGAGAGGTTTGTGTCTGGGAGACCTACCAGAAGGCTACTGCACCAGTCTAGGTATGAGGTGATCATAACCTGAACTAGAGTCAGAAAACCTGGCTTTCTAGCTCAAAGTGGTGGCGGAGGAGAGAAGGGGACACATTGGAGAGATATTTCAAAGATGAAATTCAGGAGCTTTGGTGACGGATTGGACATAGGATGAGAGAAAATGAGGGGTCCAGATCAACTGAATTTGCCTTAGATCCTCGATGGTACTGTAATTCCTAATTATCATTCTTAGTGGTGGAACCTGTCACTCTCAGAGTTGGCAGCCAAGTTGAACCTCTTGGTCCTACAGATCAAAGTAACAATTGCCAGTGGTGGAGTAGCAAGATTTCCTGGACTAAACCTTCTGGAGAGAGATGGGAGGATGTCCTGTATAATGCCAAGTTCCTGGAGCCAGAATACAGAAGAGAAGACAAGTCCTTCCTGAATGTGTCTTCCCTAAGGAAAATGGAAATCTCAATGACTGTCTTGGGAATCATAGAATGAGAATCATAGAATCAGTCAGTGACAGGATCAGAGATCTTTAATTGCAAAGGGTATTAGAGGTCATCCAGTTCAAATCAAACCTTCTTGATTCTAAGTCCATTGCTTATCCTTGTTAACAGGATTTTTACTGAGCCAGTCTCCAACCTGAGAATGCTTAGAGCCACCCACAAAAATCATTGGCATTTCTATATGTTACTAACAAAGCCCCAACAACAAGAGATAGAAAGAGAAATTCCACTTAAAGTTCCTGTAGACATTATAAAATATTTGGGAGTCTACCTGCCGAAACAAACTCAGGAACTATGTGAACACAATTACAAAACACTTCACACAAATAAAGTCAGATCTAAATAACTGGGAAAATATCAATTGCTCATGGGTAGGCCAAGCTAATATAGCAAAAATGACAATTCTACCTAAATTAATGTATTTATTCAGTGCCATACCAATCAAACTACCAAAAAATTATTTCATAGAGCTAGAAAAAATGATAACAAAAGGTCATCTGGAAGAACAAAAGGTCCAGAATATCAAGGGAACTAACGAAAAGACATGCAAAGGAAGGTGGCCTAGCTGTACCAGATCTTAAATTGTATTATAAAGCAGCAATTATCAAAACTACTTGGTACTGGCTAAGAAAGAGAGTGATAGATCAGTGGAATAGGTTAGGTATGCAAGTCACAATAGTCAATGACTATACTAATCTACTATTTGATAAATCCAAAGACTCCAGCTCCTGGGATTAGAAATCACTATTTAACAAAAACTGCTGGGAAAACTGGAAACAGAAACTGGGCATAGACCAATAACTTATACCCTATACCAAGATAAAGTCAAAATGGGTACATGATTTAGATATAAAGGCTGATACTATAAGCAAACTAGGAGAGCAAGGAGTAGTTTACCTATCAGATCTATGGAGAAGGGAAGAATTTATGGCCAAACGAGAGACAGAGAACATCATGAAATGCAAAGTGGATAATTTTGATTACATTAAATTGAAAAGTTTTTGCACAAACAAAGCCAGTGCAACCAAGATTAGGAGGGAAGCAGAAAGCTGGGAAAGAATTTTTACAATCAATGTCTCTAATAAAGGCCTCATTTCTAAAGTATATAGAGAACTGAGTCAAATTTATAAGAATACAAGTCACTTCCCAATTAATAAATGGTCAAACAATATGAACAGGCAGTTTTCAGATGAAGAAATTAAAGCTATCTATAATCATATGAAAAAAAGCTCTAAATCACTATTGATTAGAGAAATGCAAATCAAAACAACTTTGAGGTACTACATCACACCTGTCAGATTGGCTAACATGACAAAACAGGAAAATGATAAATGTTGGAGAAGATGTGGGAAAATTGGAACACTAATGCATTGTTGATGGAGTCGTGAACTAATCCAACCTTCTGGAGAGCTATTGGGAACTATGCCCAAAGGGCTATAAAATATCCTTTGACCCAGCAATACTACTTCTAGGTCTGTATCCCAGAGATCATAAAAATGGGAAAAGGACCCACATGTGCAAAAATATTTATAGCCTCTCTTTTTGTGGTGGCCAAGAATTGGAAATCGAGGGGATGTCCGTCAATTGGGGAATGGCTGAGCAAGTTGTGGTATGTGAATGTAATGGAATACTATTGTGCTATAAGAAATGATGAGCAGACTTCAGAAAAACCTGGAAAGACTTATATGAACTGATGCTGAGTGAAATGAACAGAACCAGGATAACATTATACACAGTAACATCCACACTGTGCAATGACTGACTTTGATAGACTTGGCTCTTCTCAGCAATGCAAGGATCTTGGACAACTCCAAAAGACTCATGATGGAAAATGCTATCCACATTCAGAGAAAGAGCTATGGAGTCTGAATGCATATGGAAGCATATTATTTGTTCTCTTTTTCTTTTGTTGTTTTGTTTTATTGCTTCTTTCTCTTGGTTCCTCCCATCAGTTCTAATTCTTCTTTACATCATGACTAATGTGAAAATATGCTTAATATGAATGTATAAATACAGATTGCATGCTGTCTTGGGGAGGGGGGAGGAGAGGGAGGGGGAGAAAATGTAAAACTCAAAATCTTATGGAAGTGAATGTTTAAAACTAAAAATAAATGAATAAATAATTTTTTAAAAAAAGAATGCTTGGAACGCACAAAGCAAGCTTAGAGACAGGAGTGCCAATAGACAAGTAGTTTAATTAATCAGTTTCAGAGTGAGGAATATTCTCCTTGTTGAAGTAAAAGCACAGGTCACATAATTAAATCACAACTGGGGGAGGAAAGGGGAAGGTAGATTACAAAGACTCATTTAGAGGTTTCCCACCAGAAATCTGTAAGTCATAATACAACAATTCTGGAGTCAAGTCTTTGGGTATTGTGACTGCCTCCCCTAAAGTACAGAACCAGAGTTCTGTAATGGGAACAGGTTCTTCAATCTTTGATTCTCTTCACTTAAGGTTCAATGATTCTGAGCATTGTCAGAATTTTGATTAATCAGTTTAAGCTGCATTGTGAGCTCTGACTCCCAAGCCATAGAGGCAGCTCTTGAGAAAACTAAATTATTAGTATATTCATTACATGTATTATATCAGTTAATGTGAAAATTATAAATTCCTTTCTCATCCTCTACCCCCATTTTGCCTCTCATATTATTATTATTATTATTAACTATAATACTAGATACTATTATCTTGTGAGTAAGATGTTATTATCATGGGAGGCAATATATTACAAAGTAGAAATGCCTCTGGAGGACCTGGGTTCATATCCTGCCTCTAATGCTCCCAACTTGCATAACCTT